TGGGATGTAAAGACCCCATGACAAAATGAAAAATGGTATGAGAAGGCTTTGCCGCTTAAATGAGTCAAGAGCCGTGTGAATCCTTAAAGCAGTGAGACGTACTGGGAATTGTGTTTGTGTACTTAGCAATGCTCCAGAATGACCCACGTGGGTACACCTTACAGTTACATGTAAATCGAGGTGAATGAAAAGGGAGGAAGAAATGTGTTTTTTCCCTTGTCGATGCGTGGGGGTCACATTCTGCCTTTGGAAAGGTGCCCAGGCGCCAGAGAAATCCCTGACGCCGGGTACACCATTTTGCCACTCTACCTTGGGTCCCAGCAGAGCTGCTGGGCTGGTTTCTCAGCTCCAGCTCCCGGACGCTCTCTGGCTTCACGAGGAATTTGCAGGGCACCGTCTTGCATCTGGCCCTCCCACAGCTCTTACAGGCGTTAATTTTGCCTGGTGCAGACAGTCTGTTGGCTGTTTTTTGCCTGCTGCCACTTCTCTTTTCCTTCTATTATCTCTTCTTCACATCCTGTCTTTCTCCCATTTTCAGCTGTCACAGTATTTCTTTATAACTAAAAAAATACCTGTCTGCCTATGGGCTGCAAGAAAGGGCTTGCTAATATGCACTTCTTTTGTTGTTTCCGATGCAAAAAAAATCTTTCCTGTCATGCTGAAATTATGCAGAAGAAAAAAGAGAATTTCTTCAATGGGATAAAGCTAGGATGAAAAGATGTTTAAAGCAGAGCTGGTTTGGGTGGTAATCGTTATAATGCTATAGAAAGATAATAAATACATTAGCCTGAGGCAAACACTTAGTTCCGACTTTCATTAAATTTCTGGCAAAAAGGAATAGAAGGAAAAAGGTATTAACTGAACAGTTGCACTGAGAAACAGGTTATTAAAGAGTCCATTTCTCTCCCCTTGCTTGGTTCATGTGGGCCATTTAGCAGTTTAGCTTGTTCATTAGCAAGTCTGCGTCCTGCTTTGCCAGGCGGAGAGGGGTCGGGGCCACCACGGGACGTGAGGACACCTTGCAGAGACAGTTTTCTCGAGGTCCAGCCTGTCTGAGTAGCACCATTGCAAAGGCTCGGTACTGTGGGAACTGGGAACCCAGCTGCCTTTTCCAAAGCTTGCTCCCAAAGACCAGAGCCTCGGCAGCTGCATCCAATGCAGAACTGGGGAAAGCCAGGCTGTCATGTCCTGTGCCCCCATGGGTGCTCACCCAGACACGTGTCCTGCTGAGATTACACATCCCCGGCCCCACAGCAAGCAAGGACGCACAGGTTTGCAAAGTGTGCGTGGCAGGCTGGGCTACAGAACGGCCATCCCAGCCCACGCCGAGCTGAGCGGAGGGGGCGCAGGACCCACAGTGGGATCTGGGCTTGGGAGGGAGCATCTGATGGAGACGATGACACATCTGGTTGTGATAAAGCCTGGAGGAAAGGAGACTGTGAAGCAGACCCCTTACGATAAGGAGTGGGAACGCGTGGCTCTTCCTGGCCCAGGCACCCACGAAGCAGTCATTGCTGGCCTCAGGAACAGGTTTCCAGCCCTGCCAAGTCCACTGGGGAGCCTGCACCCACAGACATCTGTGCTGATCCTGTGCTTGCCGTTCTGCAGAACTCAGAATTGCACCATTCTGTTATTTTTTAAGCTTTTCAGCCAGACTGTTCATTTCCTTTCCCCCAGATGCATCATACATTTACAAGCAATCAGTACAAGGAGCGTCATGCCCTGCTCTGCCTCAGGAGCTTTCTAAACAACTGCTGGCTTGATTTGCACCATCTCCAAATTTGGCTTTTTTGCAGTACTCCTCGCCAAGAGCCCGCAAACTTGCCATTGCTGCAGCAGGATGAAACGCCCCACCACAGGCTTCTTTTTAATTATTTTTTTTTAAGTTGAAAAAAACTCTTCTGTAGTGTTCACATACAGATTAAGAAGTTGGCACACAGCTATTCAGTGGTTTACTTATTAGCTCTGTGTGCCAAATTAATGGCTGCACATCAGGGTCTTGGGATATCCATCCTTTTCTCCTTTATTTTCACCCACCTCCCCCTGTCCTGGCAATGTGACATGCTCTATTATACGGTGTTGGGGCTTTCAGAAAATGCAGGCTCTTACGCCTTGGGACCGTGAATGCTCCTCGACAGGGAGTTTTGCCTCGCTCTCTGCTGGTGTCTTGGGATGCCTAATCCTTTGAGGGTTTCTTAGGTGCTGCTGAGTTTCAGAGTCATATATTATTAATGCTGAGCAGCCGCTGGCTGATTGATTGAGTCCCCATTGATTCTTTGTGCGACTTTGGCAAGGGGGGAGCTGAATTTGAGGGGTGAAGCTGCAGGCTGTGGGCACAGGCAGGGGGAGCACACATCCCCGCAGTAATCCCAAGAGACCCCGTGTCTGAGACATACCTCTGTTTCCAAGTCTTGTCCCACATCCTTCTTACTTTGGCATCATGATTGCCAAGGCACCAAGCGACCACCTGGTTTTGACCATGGCTCCCTCAGGTCACCTTCCCCTCCTGATCACACATGTCCCAGGTTTGGTGGGTCCCTCTACCCTAAGAGCTGGGCCAGTCTGGCAAGGAACAAGCTGAAGGATTTCTCTGGCTACAGATGTGGTTCAGGCTACTGCAGTCCATTTAGCGCTAACCACTCAATGACCGAAGGACTTGCAAGAAGCCCCTTCAAAAAAAGACATCAAAGAGTTAGGGCTTCATCAAAACCACCAGAAGATGACCACTTGATTAGTACAAGTTTAACAAATTTCTGTTTTCATGCAAGTGCATGCTTTCAAATGTGTGTAAAGTAGCTCTGTAACATTGGTGTGTGTGTGGACTTTGCCTAAAAAATATAGGAGAGACAAATTTTCTTGCTGTGTTGATATAGTAAAACAAGGTATCTGAGAGTTTGAAGAACGTTTTGCAAGTGGCAGCAAAAATGAAAATTTGAAAACGCAAGACACACTTTGAGAACTAAATATTCCTCTGCAAATTTGTTTTGTTTCGTTTCAATGTTTGCTTCTCATTATTTTCAAACGTTAGCACACATTTAAGCATATGTCAATACAATAAGCCAGACAGACCAACTAGTGTCTGCGGTGAGACCAACTGGTATCTGTGATGAGGCCAAAATAGCGCAGAAAGAGATGTTATCTTAGTATTTGTGCTTTAGCTTAGATGCTTGCGCTTTCTGCCTGACTCCATCTGTATCCGTCTATTGCTCATGCAGTCCAGTTGCTGTACTGTGTTTTGCTTATCCCTGCTTTGACGATCCAGACATTTTAATAAAGCAGGAAAGCATCACTTGAAAAGTTTTTGAAAGATTTTCCAGTTTGCATTGCTGCTGAAAAGTCTTTTAAGTACCTTCAGGGTCAGTTTGGGAGTTTTATCTGTGCTGGTTACATCTGATCTCTGTGAAATAGCGGCTGAAATCTATTAATTAAAAAAAAAAATCCGAAAGTCATCATGAGCAGGAGTGTGTGTAGTGTGTATGCATTCACCTACGTAACAAGCAGGAGCTGTTTGCAATGTGCTCAAGGTCCTCTTCTATTTTGTTTACTGGTTGGGTTTTTCACAGGAACCCTTTTCATGGCAGGTCTTGGCAGCAAGTCGTACAGTTAGGAACAGCACACTTGTAAAACCGCAAGTTAAACAGAGTGGAAGGTAGCGTTTTCCAGTAGCAGTTAAAGCTGTGCCCCAGCTCCGGGCCGGATCACCAGCCACCCCAACCACCCTATGTTGCTCCGAATGCCCAAAGCAGCCAGCAGCTGGTGCGGTTCCCCAGCTCCGTGGGTTTTATGGCCAACCTGTGGCACGAGCACAGGGCCACGCTGGCAGGGCAGGCTGAGGTCTCTGGTTCGTTACCGAGCAGCAGGAGAAGCCGAGTCATGCTCAGTTTGTTGCCTTCCTTTCTCTGCCACTTTCTCCGTGACTGGCAAAGGAAGGGGCACCAGGGTGGTGAGGCACCGCTCAGCTCGTGTTTCAGCACACGCAGGACGCCAGCCGTACCTCGAGCCTGGCCGTGCATCACACGTCTGGAGAGGCTTGCAGCTGAGATGCTCTTAGTAAAACTGTACTTAAAAGCAAAACGTTGAGCAGAGTAAAGCTACAAGCACAGGCAGCCACCGAAATAGCTACGGTAGGTAGCTGCCTGCCACGGTCCATGGGAAAGGCAGGGCCTTCAGCCTTGCTGGCAGAGCCATGCTGCTTCCGAGCTTGATTTCATTGCATCCACGGGCTGCTGGGCTGCTCTTGCCCTCTGGCTACGTTCTGTTTTCTATGCATTTGCCAACAGTGTGAGTAATGCCAGCGGCTGACAGGGCAGCTGGCACCAAGCGTGCTACGCTGGCTTTTCATCTCTAATTACCCCCTTACATTAGGCTGTCTAGCTGTTAAATTATCTATCATCTGTCATGAACATATCTCAGTATAGTCACTCATGGTTCTTGTGCTATCCTTGGTTCTTCCTTTGTGGGACAAAGATTCTGCCTAGGATGAGAAGATATCTATGTTTCAGGGGTTTGAATTTCTTTTTTCTCATATTTATTTACATTGATGATGGCTAGGCACACAGAGGTGGATGCTGAGGTTGTGGGTGCTATTCCTGCAGTACTGCAAAGGTGTATTTGTGTTTGGGAGGGAGAAAAAGAGAAAGGTTTTAGAGTGTTTCCCAAGGATGATTTGCATCTCGGCTTTTTTTAATCCTACCTGGAAATTCATGCTGCAGCTGGAAACTGTCTGCTAAAGATCCTTTTAGATCTCAAAAAATAAAAAATGGTATGATTATCCAATACCATGACATGCAGATCCAGAAGTACTAATCTAATTGAAAGTGTAACTGCAGAACATTTGCCTTTGGCTGAATGGGACATCAAGGCAGACATCGTGCTAGCCCTCTTTCTGGTCTATGTAATAGCATCTAGCTGGTGTGGTATCTGCTGTACATGGGTATTGCTTGTGCCCTGGGGACTCTTTGAGATTTGCTGTGGGTGACCCTTGCTCTTTCCCCTACTAGGTCCATGGGAAATGCATGTGCAAGCACAACACAGCAGGGTCTCACTGCCAGCACTGTGCCCCACTCTACAACGACCAGCCTTGGCAGGCTGCCGACGGCAAAACCGGAGCCCCCAAGGAGTGTCAGTGTAAGTAGCCAGCCGGGAACAGCGTCTCCAGAGCAAAATGCTTCCTCCTTGGGTACCTTTCTCCTGGGTTTCCATGCGGCAGCTGACACTGGGGTGGTGGGCAGGTGCTTGTGGAGCAGCTCAGTGAGTGGAGTGCCAATGCCACGCTCCTGCCCGGCGTCCACGGCTTGTTTGTATGGTGGGGACGGCCCTGTTCACACAGCCCCTCGCTTGGAAATCCTCACAAGACCGTGTTGTCTGTTGGTTTGGCCATTCTATGGGACCCAAGCACATCTCCCTGAGACAAGGTCTTCTGCTGTGGGCAGACTGCAGCCTGCCGGGGTGCCTTGGAGGCTACAGGGGGCCAGCATTGTCCCCTCCATGGGCACTGCTGACAGACACGTTCATAGGAGGTATGGTCTTCTGCTGCTGGGCATGGGCTCTGCTCACACCCTGGGCACTGGGGGCAGCAGGAGCTTTGGGCTCTGGGGAGGTTTGAGGATTGCTTCTGCAGTGCTGGGGAGGGATGCTCGGGGGGAGTGCAGTCTGGAGGGTACCGCAGAGGTCACGGGGCAATCTTCAGTGACAGCAGCAGTCTAGCTGGGAGGGTGCTGAGGATTAACCGCACCACCCTAGGAAGGTTTGCAGGCATGCTGAGCACTGTCCTGGTGTGGCTAGGATGCTATCAACACTTGAAGCTAGCATCAGCCTGCCTCTATGCTGTCCTACCTTGCTGTAGTACAGATGTTCCCCAAAGGAGTGACAGTGAGTCCCTGTTCCCACCATCAGTCTTTGACGAGCAGGGGTTGGAACAGATCTCACTTGGCCCCTGACCTCAGGCATGTGGATATCGAGACTTCCTCCACTGCCAGCACAGGGAAAGGGAGATGCCTGCCCTCTCTCACACACCTCCCGTTCACCTGCCTTTTTCCTCCGTCAGCTGTAAGGAGCACCCCACATGGCAGATGCTCTACGGGGCACCGCTGTTTTCTAAAGCAAGGAGGGAAGGATCGTGCCCCAGCAGGAGCAGTGAATGTGGGAGGTGTGCCTGCACCAGCCTGGCCACGTTGCTGTCCTTGTGCTGGGAAACCCATACTGGAAACAAAAAAATGAAAGAAATTATTTTGTTTTAAATGTCAGCTCTAGAGGCTGGGAAACGTGGATGAAAACGTGGTGATACTTCATGCATTTGAATGAATAATGGGTTCACATATCAAGTCTCCCATTCCAAAACGTGGTTTGGGTTTTTGTCTCTCTTCTATGAAACAACATCTTACACTGCCGTAATGAGTCCTTCTGTTCCCTTTGGCCTCACCCCAGCGTGCAAGTGTAACGGGCATGCCGACACGTGTCATTTTGACATGGATGCATGGCTGGCATCGGGCAATCGCAGCGGCGGCGTCTGTGACAACTGTCAGCACAACACAGAAGGGCAGCACTGCCAGCGCTGCAAGCCGGGCTTCTACCGGGACCTCAGGAAGCCCTTCTCTGCCCCGGACGCCTGCAAACGTAAGTCAGCGACCTTCTACTAGTAAAATGCTTCTCAAGTGGGAGCGTGTCAAAGGAAAGGTGAGACCTTCCTCCCCCTGTTGCAGCTGTCTTCTTGCTTCAGTGAAGGACAGGATGCTCTTTGAATTCCCTTTTTGATGCTGTTTGCAAAAAACAGTGGTGCAGTTTGCAGGGCAAAAGCCTGCAGATGCTGTTGACAAATCTATCTCAAGGACCCCGTAGCTTGGGGGCAGGGGAAGAGAGATGATTCATTGACTTTCTCATGCTATTTTTGGAGAGCAAATGCTGCATCATGTTTGCATGTTGTCCTTGTTTGGCGATTGCCGCAGCCTCAGAAGCAGGGTGCCTCAGCCAACAGGGGGGCAGCCGAGAAATAGCATCACCCACCAGTGCGTGTTCACAGCAGCAGCAGGTGGGTATGGAGGGAGAGACAGGAACCTGACTTCAGTGATATTCCAGAAGGTGTGACACCGAGAAGGCCAGGCCAGAGGCAATGACTTGGCCACATGTGAAATTAAATATTTCCCAAGCGCAAAAGCAGTGATCCAAAAGCCACGCTCTCCAGGGACAGCTGTGAGGACGGTGACTCACCATGGGGGACTCCGGATCCCCAAGCCACGCTGAGCACATTACACAGGTCAGCTAAATATAGGGTGCAGGCATGCTCTCTGCTCTGTGCCTACAGCCACCCACCAGCTTCAGCAGTTTTCTCCTCACTGAACCAAATCTGGAGGAGGACCTTCACGGGTGGCAGAAAAAAATCAGACTGACACCCTGTTTGAGTCTTTTGGGGGCTACACTAAGCACACCTCTCTCCTCCAAAGGAGAAGGACCTGCGTTTAAAGGAAGAGAAACCCTTCTGGGGTTGGGAGCTGCACTCGGGGCTGGGAGGGTGTGTGTGGTTTCACTTTTGTCTGCGGGGTCGAATGGGGAACAACCACATCATCCTGCTCCATCCTTGTGAGACTCCCAGCAGCCCCCCAGCCTGTCGCAGAAGTTCTCCTCCTCTCCACCTTTCACTCCTTGCAAGGAGGAGCAGCAACAGCTGAATTGCCTGTTCCACAACTCTAATTCTCTTTATGAAAACAGAATTGACCACAGTATTCTTGTGTAAATAATTATTTCACTGCTGTAGTATGTACACAAAATAGTTTTTTTAAACAGTTGATTTAATGACTTTTTAAAGTTCCTTTACCTACTTGTGTCCATCAAAGCTCCAAGTCTCCTCTCCGAAACATCAGATACTTTCCCTCCGTAATTATTGCCAGGCAACAAACTTTGGTTTTGGAGTCTCATTATTAAAAAAACAGGTTTAAATCTTGCACTTAGACCCAAAGCATGGGCTTGAGGGGTTTTTTCTGTCATAGATTCAGCTTTGCTAATTGAAAAAAAACCCCTTGGATTAACTGACTCCTGGTAGATAACACAGGACGAAAGACTGAAATAAATTCTGTATGGGACCCTCAGACTCCGAAATGTGCTTTTACTGGGATTGTGCTAGATTCAGTAAGGTTGTAATTCCTGATGCTCTTTATGTGCCAGCTCCCATCAGGGAAAAGCATGCACTTTTCTGAGGCCAAAGAAGCCAAGTCACGCTTTGGCACTGATTTCAGTGAGGTCTTCTGGACACCTAAAAATAATGCCCTTCACCTTTGAGGTGGTAGGAGAGGCTGCCAACTCCTGTCGTGTCTCATGCAGCTCGTCAGGGAGATGGAGTTTCACAAGAGACCCATCGTACGGTTTTCCTGGTGCTGAAATGCCCAATCCAAACCCTGTGGCTGTTTGGAGGGTCTGAGAGGAAGTCAAACGGCACCTCCTGGGCTGGCCAGCACGGAGCCTTCTTCCTTGCAAAGCCAGATGCAAATGGAGGTCTTTGGATGTACCACTGCAAAACAGCCATGGCTCGAAGGGAAGGCTGCCAGCAGTGTGCGTGTGCCTGTGTGCAAGTTAGACCAGCACTGATGAAGTCAGGCATTACATCACAGCATTAGGTATATGTTAACCGAATCCCAGGAGACTTCATTAAAAAGTTTCTCCCAGCCCTTCTGGACAGGAGGAAGCTGTGGAGGTGAAGTGATTAATGGGTATTTTTGATGACGTATGCTGGTGCTTGGTCCTCCCGGCTTTATGCATTCATCTCTAAAGCACGGGTCTGTGGCATTCCACTTGTATTCACGAAATCTGGTATTTAAAGGCCAGAGGTAATATGTATTTGACAAGAACTGTAAGGTAGCCTTGAGTACAGTGAGCAAAAGTCTACATTCATTTACCTTCTGCATCAAGTACATCTACTTGGTTGTTCTTTTTTTTTTTTTTTTTGTATTCATGAATTACATGGAGCATGGAGTACTCCAGTATCTCAGGGAGACAACTTTCCTCAGCATAAACTGGGATCCACAAAAATGTAGAGATTATCTGAATGCTTTCCTTTCAGAGACCCTATCACTACAAACACACAGATTATTTCTCTCTGGGGTTTTCACACCCTCACAAATGTCCTCCCTAAGAACCCTTCACCATTTCCCATCTGGTCTCCTGCTGCTGGGGCTGCTCCCTGCACGTGGGGACCAGGCATCCGATGGGCGACCCTGGCATCTTTCAGGACCACGGCAAATGACTAATGACTGTTAAATTGAATTATATAAGACCGATTACAGCCTATGCCTGCCACATTTCCAAGGACCGTGCCATGGTCTGCAATAACAAGGGACATGCATGGTGCCCTGTTACTCTTTCAGGGAAGGCCACGGCATTGCTCAACCACAGGGGAGCATTGAAAATTTAAAAATACCAGGGTCAAAGTAAATAAAGCAGCTCTTAAGCCATAATCTTTAAGGATACTTTAAAGATTCTTGTAGGCAAAGAGTGTATATAATATTTGCTCAGGAGTAGGTGTGTACCCTATAAAGCGAGT